CCCCAAAACCCCAAAACCCCAAAACCCCAAAACCCCATCCCCAAATTTCAAATTTAAACAATAATTCAAAATGACTTCTCCACAAATCGACCTCGAATTGGCTCCTTTCTGGTCATCCCCTCCCTCCTCTCCCAACCAAGCTCCCTCCACTGGTCCTGACCCAATCCCTGACCCTGACAACGTCCTTGACTACTCTATCAACAACCCATTCAAATATTCAGTGAGCCAAGCTGATGAAACAGAGTAATTTAAATACTTTAGAAATGTTTAATTCTTTCTAGAACAGAGTATTCAATTCCTGAAGAAAATAAAAGACAGATAGTACAGAAGATTAAAAGTACAAGAGTAGCAAACTTAATATCTAAGTAAGATTATTTAGAATACCTCTGAAGTAGTTAGAAAAGGGTCAAATTTAATGTTAATAACCTGCCTTCTGTTTCTTTTTGATAAATTTTCTATCAATTTAAGAGAGTTGTTAAATGCCCTACTTAAATACTCATTTTGGAGACTTTACTAAAGCTTAAAGCGTGTCTCTAAACATATCTTAAACTTACATGCTGATGAATATTAATTTTACTACTCTTAAAACCATTCTGAATAATTATCTGACAAAACACTAAAACATTGAAGCTAAAATTCCATAATAAAACCTAATATCAGATTGATAAATGCTAATATAGGCTTCCTCAAAACCCTGTAAGATCGAAAAATAGAGAGGAAAAGAAAAGAGACACTCAGAATTGTTCAGTGAGATATTTGGACCCTGAACCCTATGGTTTAACAAATCAGGCCAGATCTACACGTTATGCTGATACTTTAAACTCAAATTCTAAATTCTTTCAAACTAGCCTCAGTAATAAGGAAAATAGGAACCTATCCCAATCTTCTAGCACCCAAAGTTTGAAAATGAAATGTGACAACAATGCTAACTTTAGCTTTGAATTTCATACTCAAGGAAACGAAGATGAGGTTTACAATCTAAATGTAACCAGAACTAAATAAAGAAGGGAACAAAGGTAAAATTTAATGAACAATTTTAAATCCATTCTTAATAAATCTAGTTACCCTAAACATTAAAATGCAAGAAGAAAGCACCAATGCTCTCCTTATAAACAAAACATACAACCCCTCTTATTTCTCTCCTCAAACAACCAAACAGTAAGTTTTCCACTACCCCAGTTCATTCAAAGCTCCATCCCAAAATCTCTCAAAATTCCTGCCCCAAAGACCCTCAACTTCCCTCAACCACCCTCACTCAAGAAACTCCCAACCCTCATTTCTCCTCAAGTAAGCCCCCTCCATCACCCATAGATCCAGCACCTCCAACATCTCCACCAGACCCTTCCACAGAAAATACACTCAAAAATCCTTACTCAAGCGTAAACTCTCCCTTCCTCACTGTCCACTTCTAAACCTCTCATAGCTCCAAATTCTCTCCCTAACATAACATATAGAGTTACAGAACCAGCACAAGAGAAAACAAGCAGGCCAGTATTTGTCTAGGGTTTTTAGATAATAAGATTGGTTCTTTCAATGATATTAAGAGGATTGGGTAGCAGGGGTTGCACAAAGAGGAATTGAGAAGAGAGATTTGGGTAGTTGAAGGGGTTTGGGAGAAGGAAGGTTTGGTGTTTTTGGAAGTAAGAAGTGATTAAAATTGGAGGGAAGAAGAAGTAAAAGAGAGATTATGGTTTTTAGAGGTTTAAAGTTAAAAACTATAATTTAATCTCAATTCTCAAGCTTTAAGAAAACTCTCAAAACCTTCGCGCTTTCAATACCTCTAAGCTTACAAAATAATTGGGGTTTTGGGGTTTTGGGGTTTTGGGGTTTTGGGG